ATGTTAAGGCGGCCATTTTGGATTTTCCGTCCCAAAATCTTGTCTGTCAAGGCTTGTCTACAGGTTTCTAGCCAAACCATTTCAGGGATTCATTTGAAATTCTCAGGGATGTTTCTACCTATGAAAGTTTAGAACTGATTAGTTTATCGGCATTCTGGGTAAATGTTAAAGCAGCCATTTTGGATTTTCCGTCCTAAAATCTTGTCTGTCAAGGCTTGTCTACAGGTTTCCAGCCAAACTGTTTTATGGATTCATTTGAAATTCTCAGGGATGTTTCTACCTATAAAAGTTTAGAACTGATTAGTTTTTCGGCATTCTTGGTTAATGTTAAGGCAGCCATTTTAATGTTAAATTAAAACATTTTTTTTAGAAATAACTAAACGGTCAATCTTTCCAATTTTCACATATTTTGTAATACATCAGTATATCTTTTACCAGGATTTTTTTCAGGAAAATCTGAATTGTAGAAAAAAAGCTGATACACTGTGAAGTAATACCTTTAAATGGTCTCTTGAGGGTTGTTTACAGGTTTCATGGATTCATCCTAAAATTTTAGAGATGTTTCTATGGAAAGTTTAGAACTGATTAGTTTTTAGGCAGTCTGGGTAAATGTTAAGGTGGCCATTTTGAATTTTCCATCCCGAAAAGTGTATTCTGTTCAAGGGTGCGATTCTGTTCACCATGTGGCTTATTTTCCTTTCTACCAATTCTTGAGAATGAAATAAAATGTCTTTCCGAACCTTGTTTCTCCATATCGATACCACTCCTTTGTCACTCCTATATACGAGGGGTGATCCAAAAGTCTTGGACGCCCCGCTCTAACTTTGCTATTTTCTTATATAATTACATGAAACTTTCAGATAATAAAGATCAACATCTTAACAACTTTGTGTATAAGTTTCAACAGAAACTAATATATTTTAGCTACTTTTCTAAATATTTTTTGATACCGGGTCCCTGCTACCCGGAACGGTATTCAAATATAGCAAATCATGGTACAACTGTTATTATATGGCAAATACTTTAGGTGCAGGTGCACAACCTAACACCAGTCATGATATGAGAGAATTTCCGATTTTCAGTCTGAGTGTCATCTGCCATCATCATCTTCACATATTAAGACCTACTTTTCAACATATTTTCCACGAATTTGAACACATTTTTCATACCGCTTTACCAATGAATGAAAGACATTTATGAAACGGCCATTGCCTATGTGATATAAATGCTGCTGGAGTGCCAATCCAAACCTCATCCAATGAGTAAAAAACATTTTCTTCAACCCTCCTTTCAACTTGGAGAAAAGGAAGAAAATCACACGGAGCCATATCTAGACTGTATCGTGCATATGGTAGCTGCTCAATGTCAATAATAGTGAAAATATATTGTAGTATTCTTTGTTCCACTTTGATTTCTTTCATGTTCTGCATTTCAGCAGCCATCTTGGAGCAAAAGTGACACCAGAATGAGGGTTGATTGTCTGATGTCATTTTCTTAGAACTTGACATATACGGCCATTGCCATATGTGACATTATGATTAAAATACATGTACAATTAATTGGTTGCCTAGTAACAAAGGATGTAAACTAGCATGGTTTAACATTCAAAATTTAAGGAAAGATAGTGGTCAAGACTTGCAAAACAAGTCAAATAGTGGCAACATTTAAGGCTGAAAGTTGCCATGTGCAAATACCGTTCCGGGTGGCAGGGTCACTATATTAATAACTATCTAGAAAACTACATAAAATATATCATTTTACCATGAAATTAATACACAAAGTAGTTAGGTTGTAGGTCTTTATTATTGGAAAGTTTGAAGTAATTTTATCAAAAATCAACAAAATTAGAGCAGGGCGTCCAAGACTTTTGGATCACCCCTCGTATATTTTGTTATATGTATTAAACTAGAGAAAATTCAGAGAAATCTATTCAGTTTCATATTTCTTATATTTTATTTTTTATACTCTCACAAACAAGTAGGCAAGCTAAGACTTGAAATGCTTATACATAAATTACTACACTATAATATCTAACATTTTCTATCTCACCGGTGATCAATATGAGTCCATGACATATGTTACAGTAAGGAAACAAAATGGATGGAATAAACAGACTTGATGAACCAGTAGTTTTGCTTCAAGACTGTGAACCCCCCTATCTATTTCACAACATGTGAGGAGGTGTGTACTTGGGGGGGGGGGGGGTCCACTGGTAGATTTTTTCAGACCTAAAATTGGTGCAATTGGATTATGATAGTGCCAAATTAAAGGATATCCTTTGCAATGTGAAAACTGCATCAATATTTTTTAGATACTTGGTTATATATCTATTAAGCTTCTCAAGCTTTTAAATACCTAAAGATGGGAATTGTTTTGTTGTAGTAAGTTGTCTCCATTTTGTTACTATAACACTTGTTATGACTCACATTGCCCAATATTGAATTGTATCTTTCATTGTAGAAAACTTAAATTACAGGTTACAATTATATACAAATTAAGTCTTTAAATAATCAAACTGTACCTTTTTGTAATAACATTACATTCTTTTGATGTATTTGTACTACTCCTTGTATACATGTATACTATTTACCCAAGGAGGATTGGCTCCCAGGATTCCATCTCAATATATTCTACCAAAAAATAGAAATAAAACAGCCACCATTTTTTCACTTCAGAATTTGATCCACAAATGTTGGTCTTATTTTTAAACAATAAATACTGAAACACACAATAAGTGATCAAGATATAACTTCAAATATATTAGATCACAGAATATGTATTTTTAGTCAATCATAATGTCAGAAAATTTTTCAATGCTGTTGTCAATCGGGGTCAAGGTCGAATATCGATTTGGAACCCTGGGAGCCAATCCTCCTTGCTATAACCAAATGTTTGCTTATATTCCATGTCATGGATAAAATACTGACATCTCATAGTTTTACATAATACTGTCAGGCTAAAGATGGCTTATTCATTTATTACAATGATTTGTTTAAAGCTGGCTTGTAAAATATTGTTTTTTTCATAAGCAGTTATAGGAAAAAGTTTTACAGCCCAACTGGCTGCACTGATATATGATAAGTATTAGTACAGTATATTAAATAACTATAATATATTTAAAAAATGAAAATCATTTTGGATAAAAAAATAATTTTGTGAAAAATGAAAATATGTTGTCTTAAAAGTATATAGTCTAGCACTTTTTTATGAAAAAACTACATGATTGTATCTGAATTAAAATCATTAACTGATTAAAACACCCTAAAAATAATTTTACAGAACACACCATAGGAGTATATAATAAACATACAAGGGCCGATCAAAAAGTTTCTTACCGTCGGCTCTCGATTTTATAATAAGAGGAGTTGGATGCTCAAACTTTTACATGAGACAGGATAGTTAATTTGCTTGAAACTGTACGAGTTCCATATAAATTGGTAGTGACACAGAGTCAATGCATATTTTCAATGACTAAGTTAGGTGGAGCAGCGTTATATATGAAATATCTGCTGAGTTGTGGTTCTGGAAATTTACCGACATAGTTTACAACCTCTCATACAAAGGCCTTAACTTGTGTTTTTGGATTGGGTAGACATATATATATGAAGCGCATTGCAACTGTATTGCATTGCAACTGCATATTTTGAAGAAGAATGGATATTAGCATAAAAATACTTAAAAATGATTACTACTACAGTTTATTGACAGATAACACTACTTATTATTAGAAATTTTCAAAACTGCTGCTTAGTACAATTTTTATATAAAAAACGCTGCTCTACCTAACTAAATCATTGAAAATGTGTTTTGTCTCTTGGTCACTACCAATGAACCAATTAATATGAAACTTGGACAGTTTCAAGCAAACTTATTACCCTGTCTCATGTTAAAATTTGAGCATCCAGCTCTTCTCATTATAAAATCTAGAGCCAATTGTAAGAAACTTTTTGATCGGCCCTTGTATTATCCTATTATAAAGTCTGTTCAGGATATTGGGATTAAACCTTTGGGTAATATAATACACATGCCCTTTGGACTGTATCTGCCTTAAGCCAGATACAGCCGGATATAATATTCAATATTTTCCTTAAGATAATCCCCATATCCTGAGCCACATATAGGATAACCTACATGTATATTTACAGCATTTAAGCAAATATGTATCTTGAGCATTGTAATGGTTTCTCATTGGAACTTAACATAAAATAGAGACATAATCTCTAAGTCACTGAGCACATGTTTTATGTACATTTATTGTGCATTATGCACCCACTGTACATGTACATTGGGCAAAAAATAAATAAAATGAACACACCTACATGTACATGTAACAATGTAAATGAAAGCCAATTTGTGCATTTTAAATATACAAAAAAATATTTCTAAAATTTTGTTAAAAATTCATACAGAGAAAAAATCTTTTTGTTTATAGTTTCTTATAGTTTTACTTTAAGCCCTACCCTGACACATGTCATTCTATTAAAGTAGATAAGGGGAGGGGAGCCAAACACTGGATCTGAGGCTTTACGTTTTAAGTCTATACTGCACATGATTTTTAACTAATTACTGTACAACTTTGCAATACGCTTTTAAGAGGCAGATAAGGATAGAGAGTGTTTATGTACCATCATGAGAAAAGATTTCAGATATTTGAGAATGTTTGGAATTAATTGAAGTAATAAACGATACATCAAAGGGTCCAGTTATGTCCCCTTTTATAATCATAAACAAATAATGTAACTTACAATGGAAATAAATTGATGAAATAAAATCATTATTTCAGCAATGCTAGCCATCCTTTAGTGCCCCTTTAAGCTTTACATGATTCTATGCAAGAATTGCTGTACAAGTTTAAATATGTTCCTAAAATACATCACTTTGAAAAAATCACAGAACAACCCAAGGGCGAATGTAATACCCGGAATGTTCGCAAATTGGCATTTGGTTTTTTACCACATCCGTTTTGAATTAGCCAATAAACATGATATATATATGATATCTATACACCATTATCTAATGAAGACAAAACAAAGCCCCGGATTTCGTGCCGTTTCTCGTTTCGTTTGGTACACAACTAAGCCCCAGGTATTAAATAAGCCCTTGAACAACCTAAGGTGAATTCTGATCACCTTCAAATTGTCAATTTTAAAGGTGATCTGGATTCACTATGATTTTTTGGCGGAATAACAGTGTTCTTTTAAAGGCTCCATGTTACATGATCTTCATGAGCATATAATACATTTAAGAAATTACACTATATTTTACCTGGGTATATATTTAAATGACATAAAATATAAATCTTTTACCCTGATCATAATTGAAAACTTGAATCTTGCATCATGCCCCTACTTAACCCCCATCCCCATTCTCAATATAATACTGGGACTGAGAAAGTTAATGTGAGGTGACCAGGCTCGATACAAGACTATTTAAAGCTGCAAAAACACATACAGTCTCAATTCTATGAGATGAGGTGTAAATTGCTTAAATCTGGCAATTGCTTGAATTGGTGATTGATGATTCAACACTGCGGTACAAGATCGTCAATTCAAATCCATGTTTGCAATGTTATTCCATGCCTAGGAATTCAAGCAATTTTTGCAAAAAATGTCAAGAAATGGTGAAAACATGAAATTAAATAGCATCAAATTACAATGTAAAATAATTTAAGAAATACATAGCCACATAAGGCTAGGGTATAATTGGATTCAGATATTTGCTATTATTTTTTCCTAGAAGGATGTGGGAATGAGACCTTTTTATTTCTACATGTACCATACCCTAAAAACATGTCTCATTTTGCCTAATATGGCAAAGATTTCAGTCAAATAAAAGTGTACATGTATATAACATATGTTTAAATCATGATGTTCATAAATGCAGAATGGCCCTTCTCAAGAGGTAGTTTAAAATTGACAGGACACAGAAATACAAAAAAAACAAAACAATTGATTTGCCCTAGTCTAAATCATCTTCATTTTCTCACCTCTAAATTAAGTCATCAAAATGAACATGAATAAGCGAAACATTATTTGTCGTTTCTCAATATGTTCTATGCTTTGAACAGAAAATCAAAAAATAGAAGCCAAGATTGAAGCAAGAAATAAATTTCATTTAGGTATTTGATGAAACATTCACTGATGTATTGTTTTACCCTTTGAACAGATAATCAAAAAACAGAAGCCAAGACTGAAGCAAGAAATAAATTTCATTCAGTATATGATGAAACATTCGCTGGTGTGTATCCTCTTTCTCTGTAGGTCATTTGATAAGGTTGCCATATTCTTGAAGCATGGATTGGATGAACATGTCCCATTTCTTCTGCCACAGGCGCATTGCGTCTTGTTTCTCTGCTAAGTTCATCGCACTGTAACTGAAAATAAATTGAAAACATATTTTATTTCTTTATGGTTGACAGAAAATGCTTTTCAAAGCATTTACTCAATAGTAAGAATTGTAGCAACTTGTACATTATAAATTAGACAAAGGATCAGGTGCGATTATTGGCTAATATCCCTATAGTCAAAATGAATCATTCTTAGGTGTAACATGAAGAATAAAATGTCATATAATACTTTGGAAAATATTAAAGTGCTCGGTCACACATAAGCTGAGATAAGGATCATTTCGTTCAGTAAGGTTGTATTGACTTACATGGGGCTGTGCACCATTGACTTAACATGAGGATATCAGCAGATCCCAATAGAGGCCATTGGTTTCCATTGATTATCACAGAAATACCAAAAATACACTATGACCTGAATCGATTGCAAACTTAATAATTTCACAATATGACACAAATGGTTTATCTCATCAAATGTGCAAATATGAAGTTTGCAATCGATTCAGGTCATACTTAAAATTAAAAGATTGTATATTTTTTCATCATTTTTTTCCCTACAAAATGGCTATAGAAAAATGCTCCAAAAACAACTTTTACACTTATCAAATATCATACAAGTTTGTAAAACCAAAGATTATACTATTATATGTCATTATGTAGTAACATATTTGTATAAGATGCAGGGATGCCTTGGATGCAAATGGATTTTGACAGACACAAAAATACTTCCTGGATTGGACTCTATGCCTCTACACTTCATGATTGAATTATGACCCTAATAAGTGGCCTATACATCAATACAGTGCTGAATATAGGTCAACAAGATACAAGTGTGCATATAAATGAAATAATTGAAGCAGAATACTCATTTTGAAAAATCAGATGAATAATTTTTTTCCCATGGGGAGATCCCAATGGAGGGTGTATAAGGTCCTTTCAAGTTTGCATGGAAGCCAAATACACCATTAATGTCAAACACTTTTTGCAGATATCATGGGCATGGGGTGTGGAACCAACAATGATTTTTCAATTAAAATTGGTAATACATGTATCTTATAAACTTAACCATTGATGATTTTGGTTTTCCAATAAATAAATTCATATGTACAAATTATCCTATATGAGGTTCAGGATATTGGGATTATCCCGAGGCAAATATAATAAAAGGGGCGATCCATATATTCTGATAAAAATGCTCCCATTTTGTGATTTGTTCACATATCCCTCTCATTCTTTCAGAACATGTAGATTATGTAATTACACATACAATGCTAAAATATTATAGTTACATCTTAAATTAATTTTGAGATAAGGTTGCCATGACAACCCATATTTAGGGTAGGCAGGTCAGTTAAATTATAATGTATGAAATAGATAAAGTTAATTTATTCATTCCTTCATTTCATATTTTATGCAGATCAAACGCATCTCCAGGTCATTGCCAACTATTCGTTGAATTTTTCCATACCCCTGTTGCCCTTGTTTGCTAATTTCCACAGTGAGATAGTTCCCTCTTCATGAATTGCATCTCAAATTATTGTAGTGTTATTCTCTGTCCTGTAAGGGTACTCCTAATGTATATGTTAATGTCACACTCTGCATCTCTTAATTAATTTAAGATATAGCTATAATATTTTTGCATTGTATGTGTAATAACATAATCTACATTTTCTGAAAGAATGAGAGTGATATGTGAAAAAAATCACAAAATGAGAGCATTTTTATCAGAATATATGGATCGCCCCTTATGCCCGAGGGTAGATATATTATATTGGCCAAGGGGTAATCCTAATATCCTGGACTGACTATTGGATGATCTGTTTATCCCATACCAATCTTGCTGATTTGGTTCACATTTGGTTCCAACCAACTGTGGAATTATTTTAAAATATTCATGTCCAGTTTTGTTTTCTTGGCCATGGGCAGATTTTCCTGTTCTTTCAGATATTCATCCACATTTATTTTCTTGAATCATTGATTATTAACAGGGATACGTATGCTCCTTCCCTTAGAACCGTTCACATTTATGGGAATGTTACAGAAAATGAACCAATATGCGAAAGGCGATTATGACATAGCGGGCAGATATACTATATAGTATATCTGCCCGCTCGAAGAGGGACGTAAAGCTATATCTACCCATTTTATGTACCTGTAACATGTCCAAGCATGGGATAAACAGATAATTCCTAAATCTACATAATCACATGATAGAAACAATGGTGCCGCTAATGAAATCTCGAAATACAATATTTTTCTTTCAAAATTATCGCCATAGTTGTGTTTAAAATTCTGGTTCCTAGATTTTCCAATATACATGTATATCACATATCATAAATAGAACCTTAAACTATTTACGCTTAGATTTTTGATTGATCAATCACAGGCTAGTATCGAAAGATTTGTCCGCTGTGACGGAGCATGCTATTTTTCATAAAAACACTAAGAATACTTCACGATATATTTTAACTCATATGTTGCCCATAGAAAATTACTTACTCCATGCAATGGATATATCATTTGCGGGTAACCTTCACTTCTGTTCAATAACGCTAGGAGTAAAATCTATTGAAAACGGCGCAAAAGTATCAAACTGTAAAATGTACAATTTGTTTTTTAACTTCTTAATGGCATGATATAGTGACATGATAATATTAACATATAAAATTCTTAATCAACTGTGACGGCGCAGTTTCACAGTTCACATTTGCAACTGCTCTGTCACAGTGGACAAAAAATTTAAACATTATTTCTATGAAAGAATTAAAAAGACCCAATACATCAACATCTCATAAGTACCTTCATAGTTATGCTGAAAACATATGTAAATAAAATATTATCGTGTCACCAAATCGTGCCATTATGATACTCCGGCGCTATTTTCAGTAGCTTTTACTCCTAGCATTAATGGACTTTAAACAGAAGTGAAGGTTACCCGCAAATGATATATGCATTGCATGGAGTAAGTAATTTTCTTTGGTATAACGAAACATATGAGTTAAAAATTGTGTGGTTTTCTTAGTATTTTTATGAAAAATAACATGCTCCATCACAGCGGACAAATCTTTCGATACCAGCCTGTGTCAATTGTTAATGATAATAGCATTTTATTACTCCTATCATATCCCTGGCAATCTGATTAGTAACTTTAGTAGATTCACTCAATCATAGGCTCCAATTACAAATGTAGATTAATTATTATACATAAATTAATGAGAATGTTCTTCATAATTACATATCAATTATTGAGCAAGAATCTATACGTAAAATAAGACATTCCGAACATAGCCAACAATGACAACTCTAATTGAGAAGGGTTTCACAATGGAGTCTTATTAGGAAGGCAATTTACACCATTATATGGTGTAAATTCTACCTTCCCAGAATTAATGGCAGATAAAATACCAAATTTACGTAATTTATATGGTAGCACGGTATATATTCTGTCATGTGAGTTTGATCCTCGAAAGTTTTGAGTTATTGAAGCGATGAAAACAACGAAGGAAAAAGGATTGATGAACGTGTTCTGATTGTATTCTTGATATCAAGCTTACAATTAATTTGGTGAGGAAAAACAATTGTCTAACGAGAAGCCAACATCACAGGATAAAGTAAGTTTCGAATTAATTGTCACAATTTTATGATATGTTTTGCTCCATGTAGTACAAGTATCAATTATCCAAAAAGTTCTACAGTTCAGATTTTACTTCAGGATAAACGTTTTATTTCAAGGAAATCCTAATATCTATTTTCCAAAAAGTTTTACAATTGTAATTTTACTTCAGGATAACATTTTAATTTCAATGTTATCCTTAGATCTATTTTCCAAAATGTTTTACAGTTGTAATTTAACTTCAAGATAATCATTTAATTTTAAAGGTTATCTGGCAAATGTGCTCGTTTTCAATTCTAATGGATTATAACACTACTGCAACTTTAATATTATTACCTTAAAAGGTTTTCTAAAATGGTCAACTGAAATGAATCATTAAATAATTTGTGTCTGGGTGTTAATAGGAATTTTAAACATAAATTTAAGACATGAATTTCATACTTCAACTTTAATTCAATTTATTATTCTCTTATTCATTCTAAGATTCAATATTGATTTGTACTATTTTATCTTTTGGATGACGCAGCAAAAACTGCAAAAGCATGGATTTTGAAAAAGTAAGAACATCAGAATTCCCACTGGGAGAATGTTCAAAATTCAAAATATGGTACATGTACTAAAGTTTTATTATATCTATGAATTTAATATTTTTGACTGACTTTTAAGGGGCGGGGTCAAAATATCAATGTTCATATGGAGACAAAAGTAATTTCGTTTGGACAACAACCCCCCCACCCCCTCCTCTAGACGAAAGCTTAGGTCACTTCAAAAAAACATTGATTTTCAGTGACTGTCAAATGATTTGGTGAATTAACACACGTTCGCAATTTAACTGCATTGAACTCTTCAAAAGGAGGAGGGAAAAGTACGGAATTTATTTGAAAAATGATCGAATTATCGTCTTTATCTACCGATATTTTGGACCTATCACACAAAAAAGCTCACAAACTATTGAAAACAAGCCTTTTTATCAGAACATAGCGCCAGAAAAAGTGGGTAAGTCCAATTATTTTTTGTATATCAGATCCGAATTATCGATGTTTTTTTGGTCAACGAAAGTGCCCAAAAACCCCCTCCCCCCTCGCGAAAGTACTTTCGTCTCCATATGAACATCGATATTTTGACCCCGCCCCTAATGTATCTTAATGTATCAAAAGTCCAGAAACATTTCTAAATACAGGTCCATTTAACATGTTATTGGTTCACTTAAGCTTTTTCCAAAGAAAACACACTTCCATTAACTTTTGAAAGCAAAATTGCATGTTGTAGATAAACCTTTTGTCTTGAGATGTTCAATTTCAAAAAGTGATTTCAAAACTTTTCAGTTCCTTAAAAAAATTGGCAGTAAGAACCCCCATCCCAGGGGTGTCTGATTATGCGCACACACTATGTTTACCATCAAAATAATATCAAAACT